GCATCATAATATAAACATAATCATTAACTTTAAACATGAACATACTTGGGCCATAGGATGAGATTGATGAATGGATGCACGATGTCATGGAATACCTTAAACTTTTCATTTTCCTTTTGTTTTTTTAAAAAAATATACTTGGTCTACAAAACCGGCTAAACCTTGCTCTGATACCATGCTGTAACGCCCCAACCCCTAGTGGATCGGAACGCTACTTACTTTACTTAGCTTAACCGGTGGTTTAGTAACAAGTGTATACGTTTTAGCGGAAGCTTACATCTTCGGATAATAATTTAAATAACAATACTTCAAATACTTTAAACAAAAACACTGAATCATTTTTCAAAACAACAAAATGTAATTTATTTGAAGAAACATAACTTGTTCTCGCATTCTGCGTTATTCAAAACTTTAAAAAAATAACATTGGAAAACATTTCATAAAAATAAATTCAAATCACTTATTCACCGGATTTCCATGGGCTCGTTGCATCACTTTCCATCTTCTCCTCCATCCATGCCCGAGGTAGAATTTCTTCAATCTGGAGAGATGAGATTAAACCCGTGAGTTGAAAAACTCAATAGGTGCATTCGTGATCAAGCTATACATTTCAAAACATTAACTTTATAACTTTTCATACATGTCGTACCCGGAGGCACCATTTGACATGAAGGGGTATGCCGTACCCGAGGGCACCATTTGACATACGAACATTTCTTCAACATAGAGGGGCAAGCCGTACTGGAGTACCATTTGACATACAACCATTAACATAGAGGGATATGCCGTACCATTGTACCATTTGACATACAAACATTAACATGAATTGAAACTTATAACTTAACACGATTAAACACATTGCACCTCTACAAACCTTGATTGATGCTTTTGAAATTTTGAAAACTTGGATTGAAAAATTTCGATGAAACTTGGACGTTGAAAGAAATGCACTCCTTGGATGTTTGAAAACCGTTGAGAATTGATGTTTGAAGACACTCCTTGATAGCACTCAAAACTTCTATGAAAAATGCTTGAAAACACTTTTTAAACTTTTAGGAAAAATAGTTTTCCTCCCTCTCTTTTTCTCTCTTGGAAACTCTTTCTTTATTATGTAAAAATTCTTACTTTTGGTGCGAGAAAAAATGAGTGAGATGAGGTCTCTATTTATAGGTAAATATCTCATAACTTAAAACAAATGAAGGGTCAAATTTCATTTAAGAGAGAACATGAGTGCCATTTAAGTTTGAGGTTAAATACTTCAATTTAGTGGTGTTTTTATTGCCAAAAACGTGGGTGACCCTTTGAGAAAATAATTGATGAAAATAAATATTTAAATTCTAGAGAAAAACGAGAATTTTCATTTCAGGCAGTGTCGGTCGACCGGTTGTAGTCCGGTTGACACTACACAGCTTTTAGTGTTTCTATCATAACTTCTTCTCCCGATATCCGATTAAGGTAATTCAAAGTGCGTTGGAAAGCTAATTCAAAGAGTTACAACTTTTATTTAGATATCATTTTTTAAATCGAATGTTTTCTATGTCGAAAATGGGTCTCAAATGAGACTAAAAATATGAAGTATACTTTAGTCATCTAATATTCATGCCTTAGTGCAATTAAGGTGTCTAGAATTATTTGGGGTTCTACACGAATTCTCTTTGATCTCTTATTGAAAGACTATGATATTTCAAATGAATATCATAGCCCTTCTTTGAGAGTTGTCCCAAACTCAAAATGTTATTTTTCATATTAGGCGTATAATAGACATTTGAGATAAATTGATGCGTACCATTTTTCAAGCGGATCAAGATTTTTTTTTTGCCTTTCCTAGGATCTTTGGTTCGTCTCCAAAAGTAATATTGTCATTTATCGATTTATCGAGCTCCATGATCATGTTTCTTCTTCTGCTCATATGGTTGTTTGCTCCTGTATCTAAATACCAAGTGTTATTTTCTCTGCTTTCTTCACCTTTGTAAGCTAATAATAGTGCATGATCTATTTCATTTTCCCGACTAGCATAGTTAGCTTTCTTTTCAATTTGATTAGTAATATTTCTACATTCTGAAGCATAATGGCCAGGTTTTTGACAACTATAACATATAATTTGAGATCTGTCATATCTTAGCCTTTTATTTTGCCATGTACTTCCTCCTCCTCCTCGACCTCTAGTGGAAAACTAGCTTTGTCTTTTTTCCTCCTTGTAAAATGCACTTCTTCCTCGATCTCCCATTGACGAACCTTCCTTCACCCTCGTTTAAGGTGAGATTTGTTTGAAGATCTTGCTCTAATGGTTCTTCATTCACCTTCTTTAGTATTTTCTCATGGGTTTGTAAAGATTCCATGAGTTGATCGACACTCATATTATCTAGATCTGTATATCTATTTAGTCAAATTTGGAATCTAAAGACCCAAGTATCTTATCAATTACTTGAGTGTCGTTCAACTTTTCTCCATTCCTCTTTAATTGGTTCACAATGGTCAATACTCGTGAAAAGTAATTAGAAATTGATTTCAATTCTTTCATATCTAAAGCTTCAAACTCACCTCGAAATGTTTGGAGTCGAACCTTTTTTAGTTTCTCAACTCTTTTGTGGGAGTTTTGCAAGATCTTCCATGCTTCCTTACTCGTAGTAGTACAAGCTACTTTCTTGAACATGCTTTCATCTAAGGCTTGATAGATGAGGGTAAGCACGTTCTTGTCCTTCTTCCTTGCATCCTTAAAACTATCCATTTGTGCTTGGTGTGGCTCTGTGTAGTCTTTCTCTACGATCTTCCATGCATCTTATGATCCGAGCAATGCCTTCATTCTTATGCTTCAATTATCGTAGTTATCCTCGTTGAATTGGGGGACTTGAAAATGAATCATCCCACTTGCCATTTTTTCAAAGGGCCTTGGGGCTCTGATACCAGTGTGTTGGAGGAAGGAGAGATTTATTAACTTGCATTGGCTAAGGATTTTAGGGAGGACAACATTAATAGGAAGAAGTGAATAAAAGGAAACTTCTATTTTTCAACTTCAAAACTTACGTACTTGGTTTGGTACAAAATGAAAGGATTCTACCCCTTTATATAGGGTTTACAAGAAATTTCTAAACCACATATTTTTCTAGAGACTTTTGGACCACATATTTGGGCTAAATATTTTGGATAGTCTCTAAAATCACATAATCTACTTGACACATTACAGTTATCACATCTTTTACATAGATATTTACATAGATCTTTCTAGATTTTTTTTTATTTTATTTATTATTATTTTTTTTTAGAAATGCTATAGGCTTTGTTGGGCTTTTTAATTGCATTGGGCCTATGAGTAAAATCTTTAAGCCCATATTACTTGGTCCGATATCAAGTTTACTTCCCAACATTTAGAACTAATTTTTTAGCCAAACAAAATTAAGAAAATATATATTTTTCGTGATTTGAAGGGTTTAAACAGTAATATTCCATAAGTCTTATATAATTATCCAAAAATTGACCTACTGGCTTGAACAGTAACCAACCTGTGTCAATCTCTTGGCTACATTGTGGCCACAATGCTTGTTGCACTAGTGTGGATATAGATAGGGTGGATATGGAGACTTTGGTAGCACAACATGATTATTGACGGTGATGTATGAAAGTGGAAGATTTAGGTGAGGCTCATTGAGGGAGGGGACGTGGAGATGGAGATGGTGGTGGATGACGGTGCATGGTAGCCTGGTAAGGATGTGCAAGTGAAGGAAATTGTGTTATTTTCAAGGATGCAGTTACTTTAGGCTTGATAGGGGGATGAGGGTTTGATTAATAAAAAAGGTGGTGGTGGATGGTTCAACATAGTCTGGTTAGGATGAGTAGAAGGAAATCGAATTGTCAAACTATTCAAGGATGAGGTTCCGTTGGGTGAGATAAGGGGATGAGTGTTAGATGAATAAGCTAGAAAGATGTTTCCCTTGGGTATTCCAAATATTGTTTAGTGCTAAAGAAAATGGTAGCTAGAATGGCCATCCCAGTTGTAGGTTATTCCAGCCACTAAGCAGGTCTTAGTTACATAATGTTGTTTATATCATATTGTCATTTGTCCCGTAGACATGGCTCCCAAAGTAGGGCTCATTCCCAATGGGCCTCTAGTACAAGTTGCCAGCTGTGTAAATTCTTAAGGTTGCCAAACTGTGACTTCAAAGATTGAATGTTATGAAGAGCAGGTTATGAAACTGCAGCATTTATTTTGTTCTCTAGAATCTAAATATTAAAATCGTGTAATATGAGACTTGCCAGTAGACATACATTCCACGGGATAAAGTTACCAACCGCTTACCATTGTACATATAAATGAAAAATATTTTACAGTGTGAACGTGTTCTAATACATCGAACTTACAATTATGATGCTCTCTCTAAAAATACAAACACCTCAACACAAAATGGTAAGAACTTCAGCACTTCGTCTCCTAGTAATATATAAAAAGGAACTGAACACGTCATTTGGACGAATTTCTTGCAACTGCTCCCAATTCTAACCGAAGGTGTTTATGTATGTTTTAGGAATTTCGATGGCTGATGTATTTGTGTGGTTTAGAAGGCTGTTGCAATCAGTGTTGGGTAACCATGGCGCACACGATATATGTTTGGCCAAAGGGAAAAAAGTTGTCCTAATACCAAATTAACAATGAACAATTAAAGAGAAGAGAAAGAGGAACAAGAAAGAAAAAAGACTTAGAAGAGAGAATTTGGAGGAAGAAATATAATTTTATTCGATAATTATTCGATAATCAAGTTCTTTATAAATTTTTCTCTTAGCCCCTTCATATAGAAAATGTCTTTCAATTTAATAAAACTTGTAAAAGATAACATTGAATTTACTTCTGATTTATAAACTACTAAAATCTAGATTAACATGAACTCTATTTTCCTTTCACCTTGAATAGATGTGTTTTTGTTTCCCTGTTGCATCTATGTGCTGCAGAAGATCCTCAGGAGATGAATTTTTCTTATCTAGATTGTGAGAATCTATGATATGTGCAGGTTCATTCGGCAAGGGTCAGATGCAGAAGCCTTTTGAAGAAGCAACATATGCACTGAAGGTTGGCGAGATAAGTGACATTGTGGATACTGATAGTGGAGTTCACATCATCATGAGAACTGGTTGATTTACTGTACAGTAAAAATTTGGCTTCCACAAGGATTAATTTGAGATATTGAGAATCATATCAAAGAATTGACCATTTCTTTTGAATTTAATCATACATTCTCTGGTGTCTTTGAATTGGGTGGTCAGTTTTCTGATGAAAACACATAATTGCGAGATTGATTTATTCTGGAATTATGTAGGGTTTGATATGCTATCTAATTTCAAGATTTTGTTCATGGCTTTGTTGTGATATCTGGTTAATATTCGGCAACAATTCAGCGTTTAAACCATCCATGCCACTGGCTCTTTGTGATTAAACTTTTCATCAAAATTCACAAAATGGAATCCAAATCTCTAGCGAAATGCTAATGTCCGGTAAAGCATATTTGGCTTTTGTATTGATTGAAGACCATGAAGAATTATCTCGTTTCTCATTGGATAACAAATCACGACATAAAATAGAACACAAGAACAGTTAGAAAAAATCCTTTTTTGAAAATCAACGACCAACGGTAATGGTTGCAATGTTCGTGGTGCTTTAGCCCTTTATTGATTCTCTTTATTTTACTTTGATGTATTTCTCACTCTCATTTTTAACCAATGTTTTAAAAATCGACAATGGCCATCAATCCAAAAAAGAGAAGTCAAGGGTCTAAAAAGTTAAACCATGGGTTCAACCAGGAATGATGAGGTGATTTTTTTTTAAAAAAAAATGTAATATACATAAAGAGAGAGAGAGAGAGAGAACGGGTCACAAAAATCAGCCGGCTTAATGGATTTTGAGACAGTTTTAATAAGAGATTTTAGAAGCTTAACTAAGTCGATTTTGGTCCTAGTTCCCGATTTTTCAATTGAATCAATCGATTTGGTCCGATTTTTAAAATATTGTTTTTAACGATGTATTTATACAATAAAATATTTTATATGTAAAACTAAAACTTTTTTATATTTTTTAACTATATATTCTCCAAAAAAAAAAAATATATCATTCAAAATATAGTTTTTTTGAAATAAAGGCCGCCAGCAGGGGCCAAAGTCATTAAAAATTGAAAGACTATTTCTCTCAAAACAAAAGAAATCACAAACAACTAGGATTAAATAAACATAACAAGAGGCACCACTAATTACTGATTTGTCAAGGCCTCGTTATTTATGACTGCATCATTTCCAGGCGAGTAAAGGGACATGAGCGCGCTTGCTTATTCTTTCGCAATTATTTATTTATTAAACAAAATGTTCCCAAAGTCCGAATTCAATTATTCTTGTTTAAATCTAGGACTTGTATATTTTATATTTTATTATTATATTATTTATTTGTTCTTCTTCTTCTTCTTCACTAAGTTTGGGCTTAGTTATTTATTTTTTTATCTGCGAACTTATTCCAAGTATATACTTCTTTGTTTGTAGTGGATGACGTGTATTATGTTAAGAGGGCGTGCCATAATTGTAGCAAATTTTTTTTGTGCATTGATGAGCTCATTTGCAGGTTTCTTCTAGGTTAATAGCCTGCACACATTTAAAGCGCGTGTTGATCTTGCGCGATGTCATCCATTCATTTTGAAATTTTTCGACTGCATCTTAATATTCGACAGTTAGGATTGTCTGATTACTTTTTACTGACTGATGTTACTATTGACCCAAACATCTTGTATTTTTCGTCGGAACCTATAAATATGACATTTTCCTTTTTCCTACCAATCCTGCTTATCTGTTGTATCTGATTGCTTTGCTTCATAATTTTTAGGGCATTTTCTAGGGATTTCATCTTTTGTTCCTTCTTGTTAATCTTCCCAAAAATCTTTCTTGGGTACGTACTCTACTTTTATTCATCCTACGATTGTGTCTGGGATTTTTATTAATATTTTTTTATTTACAATGTCCAAAGCCATTTCCAAAATATGTTATAATTCTGAAGCTGAAAATTCTAGACTTAGGGATGATCAATTATAGGCTCCCCCCTCTATAGAAGTGTTATCTATTAGTGTATTACCTTGCTCTGCAGTTTTCTATTCAAGTACTTAGTTAAATAGAAATTTAGAAGTGAATTAGTATATGTGGCTTCAAACTGTGAGCCGTCCTCTCTATGATTGTATAGCTATTCATAAATATTCGATGAATATGGGGCTTAGAGTTCCCTTTCATCATTTCTTTCATAAGATTCTCTACTCTTTTAATGTCGCTCTACCTAAATCACTCCTAACGAGTGGTCTTACATGGTGGGGCTGTTCCTGTTATGGAGATCCGTAGGTTTAAAGGGATAACTATCTTTGGATTTTTTCGATCTATTTACCATCTTGTAAAAGCAGGTAATAAATTGAACCCATAAAAATGGTATTACTACCTCTCTCATTCTCCTAAATCGTGTCCAAAATTTGTAATTACTCCTAACAAAGTGTACATTTGGAAAGAAAGGTTTGTACGAGGCAATTAAGGACTTCAACCAAATGATCCTAACCCCTTGATTGCTATGCTCGATATTGCAGCAAATATAGTGAGTATAGACTGTTTGAGCTCTTACTGACCTTTGCACTCTAGGGACCCGTTCTTAGCACTAATCATGAAGCTCATGAAGGGAGAGATTGATTCATCTTTCTAATATTTTAACATTGGGATACAAATTACTATGGGAGAGTATAAAGTCAAAGGTCAATTTACCTTTCAAGTCCTATTTTTAATTTTAGGTATGTCCTAATTGTTTCTTTGCATTGTAAATTGACTTTAGTGTGAACCCTGCTATGGGGGGGGGGGGGGGGGGGTTGAAGATGTGAATAGGTGGAAGGTACCCTTACGGGGGCTTAAGGGGTCAATGTCCCCTACTATTGTTTTAAACTGTGCGACCGCATAGTAATAATGTTTTCCCGCCAGATAGCTTTCACTATTTTGATCATATCTTCTTCTACTGATGTCCGATTGAGGTGATTCAAAATGTATAGAAAGTTCACTCAAAGGGTTACAACCTTTCTTCAGATGTCATCTTCCAATTCGATCATATGAGTCAAGAGCAGGTCCCAATATGAGGCCAAAAATCGGTGCGTAACTTTTTTGATTGAGAATTTATGTGTAATCATACTTTAACAATATTTCATCCATTTGACTTCTTTCCTCATCTGCTTGACCTCTAACACTCTCGAATCTTCATCATAAGGTTAGATACAAGTTTAGAGTATCTGTACTTTAGTCCCCGAACTTTCATGTTCTTCCACTTGGGTCTTTTTTTCGCTCGTTTCTTCAAATTTTCACCATATTCATTCATTTACAACCTAAATCATGATATAGAGGTACTTAGCGCATTTATGTGTCAATTTATCTTAAAAACACAATTATAAATTGATGAATTACTTAACAATTTGTGATATCATCACACCCCAACTTGCTTATTACTAGTCCTTAACAATTTAATGCGAAACAAGACAATAAAAGATTGGGTTATGCTACAATTTAAATTGTTAAGTTCCAATTTAGCCTTCGTATGGGCCACATTAATTTTCATTTCATTACATTTTATTTTTCTCTCTCCTATTTTCAACCACACAATTTTTCATAAAATAATATTATACGTAAATCGAAAAATTTTCATTTTTTTTCAACCACTTATTTTTCAAAAAAATACTATTCCACCCATTAATTTTTCCACGTAATGGGGGCCAAACAGAGGCTTAGCCATCTTACCGCAAACCCTAACACATGCAATATCAGGTATGTCTCGAACTAAAGGTTTAGCCCCATAACTCATAGGCATCAAAGTGTTTAGTGCAGGGTTTCTCTCTATGGAGTTGAGAAAGGTATACACAAAGAACATGGTGGCTCAAACATTTATGAACAAGCAATAAGCAAACATTGATCACATGATAGGCACATTATCAATTGAGAATTCATCAACTTCTTACCACAACCCTACTTGAGATTAAATAGCCAATACAAAAGGTTGTAAAAAAGGTTAAATTGGGAGATATGTAAAGAGGGGTAAAAAGAATTTAAGGACTACCAAATACATAACTAGGCATTTTATCAAGCATTTCAATAGATCTCATCCTTTACATTAGTGCATTCCTCAATATTTCAATTCCCCACATCAATCTTCTTTTTCTTTTCTTCATTTTTTTTTAATTCCCCTTCTTTTTTTCTTTTTCTTTTGTTTTGTATTTTTCTTGCTTCACTTGAGCACTTATCAACTCTCATCACTTTCCTCGTTAGTTTTCATACACTTGGAAGTATAAAGGTAGAAGAAGACGTTTATAGACTTTATTCCAATGTGAAGAGGTATAGATAACGTAGGTGCATGAAAGAAATGGCTAGTTATGTGTATTGGCTCAAAATGGTTGCTAAGGGGTTATAATCATAAAAAAGAAATGGTCTGAAGGCTCAAATTCAATCTTAAATTGATTGTCATCATTTCCCAAGTATGATCCACTGTCCTACCACAGATCGTGTAATGTTATTCTCAAAAGAAGTTTTCAATTCACAAAATCAATGACTGTCTATTACATTTTTAGTATATTGTGGCTCTAAATCCTCATCAATTCTCTCATGAAAACTTTAGCAAGAGACTCTTCTAGCTACATGCGTCAAACTACCATCTTACCACAAGGTTTGTGTGTACAAAAAGAATTCAGCAAGTGTCTCAACATCTAGACTCTCATACACAAAATTAACTCCTAGTGGAGTATTTTATCATCGACATGCAGCAAATTAGAGTCTCAAACAAAAATTTCCTCCCAATTTCATGTGATTACGCAATTAATTATACAATTCACAACAAAATTCAAATTGATCTTTCCTCCAACTAAATGTTACATTGTTCTCAATGCATAAACATGTCTTCCAAAATAAAAAGAGGGAAATGTATCACTTGAATACTGCAGTGGATCAACGTAAGCTTAAAGGATAAGAAGCCTGAAAGATCTTAATGGAGTGATAATGCAAGGAATGAAAATAAACCTAAAAATGAATGCAAAACATACTAAGAAGAAAAATCTAAAAATTAATTTATAGAAAAAGCGCAGTGAAAGACAAACCTGAATGATGTTAAAGATGGCAAACAGGGTCTGCAAGAGGAATTTATTCCACCACAGGCACTTGTTGGATGTCCCCACAGCAAGCAGGTCAATCTCCCACGATTCAGATGTCGTAGCACAGAACACCATGAGATTAGACACACCTACGACTAGTACAATGAGATCAGATGCACCCGCTTTTCGCCCGACATTCAGTGCACCACCATCTGAACAGTACTTATC